GCACACACACACACACACACACACACAGTCCCTCTGCGATCCCCCTGACTGAAGGCACACAGGAAGTGCAGCCGTGGCCCAATTATAGCGTGACACCTCGGGCCGGCCGTTGCCATGGTTACGTCTTCCCTGCGGTCCCCTGGAGTGTGGCGCCGAGGAAGAAGGTCTTATCACATCAGCCATCGTTACGGCAACAAGCAAAAAACCCACCCTGTAGCCTCAGTGCAGCTGCCGGTGTATTTTGTTTATAACATGGTAGTGTGTGTGTGTGTGTGTCTACATGTGATCTACACTTGTGAATAAAAAGGGATATTGCGTCAGTGTGTGAATAGAGGAGAGTGTTTGTTGTTGCGTGTGCGCGTCAGGTTTGGTGTGTTCCAGTGCATGCACCGGACTTGCCAAGGCACCGTGTAGGTGCGTTTGTGCGTTTGTGTGTGTCTGTGGGGTTGCGATAAGGCTCTCAGCCACACCATTAGGTGACTCATAATCCACACAACCTCACACATAGGAACACACGTGTGCATGTGTACAGCCAGGAACACGGAGGCTAACAGACATACACCCAATTAAAACGAACATACACACACGCACACACACACAGTAGTATAAACCCAGCCTGTAGACAATTACACATGGCCAATTTCTTTTATTTCAAAAGGGCAAACAGAGCTATACAGTACAAGTTGCACATGAAATAATTTAGCCTCGGCTGAACTCATTCATTTCTTACTGATGCAGTGACGTCAGAACAACAGAAACAAAACTCCCCATTAGAAACAAAACATTTGGCTCCTTCTTTTTTTTTTTTTTAAGTTGAAACACAATACATCCAAACTGGAAAGGGATGTAAAAAAAGACATAATGTTTTCCAGATATTTACAGTCTATTTACAGCATTTTTGTCGTCATCTAAATATTGACACACATTGGTATCCTTCTTTCTCTCCTCTCCAATTCACTGATTGTCAAAAGAAAGGATGGGAAACGAGTGTGGACATTCTCAAACGGAGCTGCAGCTCCTCGTTGAACGCGAGATCCGGAGATCTCCGAACCACAGTCCGAGTGTGTTAACATGGTGTCCTGTGTGTTTGTGTCAGCTGCAGCTCCTCAACAATCATCCAACCGGGATCCTCTGACAAATGCTGCCACCACGTACATTGCTATCCATCCAAGGCGCCGTTGCTTCTCTCCTGTGCCAGACCCAAAGTAAAGTCGGAGGCCCTTAGATCAAACCCAGACACTCTGCTCTCAAACCCGGGACCTCCCGGCTTCCTCTTCAGCTCCTCGCACTTCCTGTATTTACAGATCTGGTGTCCCCTCTTGCGATTGCGGCAGCTGCTGCACTGTTCGCAGTTTGTCTGACGCCGACACGGTACGCACTCCCCGCACCTCTTCCTCTTCCTTCTCCCGCCGCTGCTGCCCCCCAGAGAGCCAGGTGAGTAGCCCTCGGCCACCAGGCCCTCGATGCCCTCCGCTCCCATGGCCGCGCTCCTCCAGTGGCCTCCCCCCATCTGGAAGCCCGCCAGGGGGAACAGAGTCGGGCTGAAGGGGAACCAGGCACCCAGGAAGGGTTGGAAGTCGGTGCCACATCCAGAGGAATCCTCCTCCTCCTCCTCGGGCCCCGATCCACCGCCCTCCCCGTCCACCCTTGCCTCCACAGCCTCCCTTTTCGCCGGCTGGCTGCTCTGCGCACCTAGGCCGGCCTGCTCCGTGGTGGCGGGGGTCAGAGCCAGCAGCCCGGCGCGCATCAGCAGCTCGGCGGCGTGGGCCAGGTGGAGCCCGCTGGGCGACTCCCACATGTCGGGCCAGGAGGGGGCCCGGCGAGGCTTAGCGTGCGTGGGCTGGGCAGCCCGCTGCTGTGCCGGGGAGGGCTGGATCAGGCCTTTGACGTCCACGGCCGGGGAAGGGGTGGAGATGTAATGGGAGAGGCTGTAGGGGTGGTTGGAGCGCTTAAGGCTGGGTCTCAGTGGCTCATTGGGGATTTTAGCGCTGCTGTGGGCCTGATCTGGGGAGGAAGGGCCAGCGATGTCTACGGCAGTGGACATAGCAGTGGCTGTGTGTGGGGGGTGTCTGTCCTTGTGTGTGCGTGTGTGTGTGTGTGGGAAGAGAGGTGAGGGAGAAGGGGATTGAAGCCGATGCGGGGTTGACAACCGTCCTGCTGTTACTTCAGCCAAAATGGCAAGCCTTGGCCTGTGTCCCTATTCCCATTCTCTGCAGCAGCCTCAGAGTCCTGGAGAGCTACAAATGAATGGGGGATGAAGAGAGGAAGGTTAAGAATAGAAATGTTGGAGGGACAAATACAGAAAGAGAGTAAACAGAGGAGATTGGGACTGGAGGATATTTCTCGGCCGGGAGCCACTAAACACTGTCAGAGAATCAGAGTGTGGAGAATCTGTGTTTTAAGAGAAAAATAATATATACGTATGTAGATTTATTTTTACAAACAAACTGCTCGAATAGAGGCGAACAGGGCCATGTATCAGACACAGTGCATGGCTTGCCCGTGATTTCCGCATACAGGAGGCAGTACCCCTTTAAGAATTTCACGGTATATCAATGCAATCAATAACAGAGCGACAACAATATGCAAAGATATGCGCATATGCGCAGGTCAAATGTGGAGCGCGCTTTTCAAATACATTTTGACGACTGCTGTTATGTGTGCCAGCCAAAGCTTAAGCTCAACCCAGGAAGACTAAATAGAGGACCGTCAAAAAAAAACAGGCTGTCTTTTGTCTGGTATCGACGACGAGTGAGCGAGGTGCGCAACGATGCGGTTGCTGTGGATAAAAAAAGACCAGGGCTATATTCCGTGTCCACGTTTGTAGCAAAATGTACCCCGGCGATTGAAACCCGGGACATATATGTAGTTACGCGTCAACGAAGTGAACCCTTTTAGCGGGTCGATCGGGGCGCCCGATCGATCGTTTCGCCGCGATTAAGGTTACCTAAGAAGACGGCGCTCGACCGACGCCACGACGGGCTGACCACAGTCCGAGTGGTCGCTGCGACACGGCGCCGCGCGCAGCGAAAATAAGGCGACAAAAAAAAACCTAAACGGCGAAAATCAACAGGAAGTATCGTCAAAGCGTCTCCCCTTACCTTCCGAATTGCGGCCCAAACTCTCCTGTCAAACATATGATGAAGTCATGAACTAATGGCGTGGTGATTGTAGCGTATATGGACGGCGGAGCTGCCCGATTCCTCCTCCACCTCTCCGTCCCGGAGGGTCTGCAAACACTCTGCACGGAATTTGGGGGCGTCGCTCAAAATGCGAAGTGGACTCTGCAGCCGAGACCGACGTGGTCAGAGCGACCCCACGATATCCGAGGGAGCACTCTGAACGCACACGGACGAGCTGTCGGGGGGGGGCTGCCATAGGGTGACAAATTAAACCCAGCTTTAATATCATTGTGTTAACGGACGTTACTACTAAGGAACAGTGGTCATCCTTATTTCATGATACAGTGTCATGACCCAACATTTTAAACACTAACAACTATTAATATATATATCAAAATTAAACATAAGTATATCATCTAATCCGTATTTTTTATTTTTTTAAATCAGGACATGGACGTTGTTTATTACAGCATCTACTATTATAGCAATACATATTAAAGCTGCATCTAAATGACATGTCTTTAAGGTCTATAACTACCTCAATTCATTCAAATGTCTCTTTTACTCGGTGAATACACTTCTGTAATGTGATGTAGACTGGTGTCTATGCGGAGCAGTAGTAGAACGTGTAATGTATAATTAACTTAATTAAAACCACCTGTCTGGGCTTTCAGTTTAGTAGACGGTATTAGTAATTAGTGACGGTAACACTGGAATGGCATTAAAAGAGAGGCGTAAATATTAGCTTATCAACGTCATAGTGTTGTAAATGTGTCAGATTTCGCCGAATAAACTGGGTGAATTGATGTTTATATTACTTTAACAGCTATTTTAACAGTTAAGAATAAAGCGCCTGAAAGACAAATAAAACATTGTCAATAGTCTGGATTATCAATTGTATCCACACCGGAAGTCAGTGTCATAACAATTAACAATTAACAATTAAAGATAACTCTTATTCTCATATTATGACCGCTGAACCCCATTTGCCGGCTTCTTTTCAAACATATGGGCGACACTATGAAGTCATTATGAAAAACTAAAACGGAATAACTTAAAATACCTTCAAAACTGTTTATTTTCACCAAAAACTACTCTGAAATTCTTGCTAATTAGCAGTCAAAGTGCGTTGGACTATTAGCATGAACAGCCGACATGCTAATGTACCTCTAAAAGCTCGTACTACGAAGATATTTTTGGTAGAGTAGATATATATATTTATATATATATTTAGATTACATCCCTCTCTCTCACACACACACACTGGTGAGCTGTCTGTTAAAGGTGACTCCTTACGCGGGGACGGCGGAGTCCACTCCACCTCTTGTGAGAGCCCTCCGCTGCATTTGGCACGTAGCCAGATACCTCGTGCGTGAGCTCGTGTGTGTGGGTGGCGTGCCTGTGCGTGTCACTATGGGAGCAGGGGCCCACCGTACTCGCGTACACTGTCTGGCCTGGACTATCCGTGTAAACACAGCGTCTTCTAGTGGTCACTGCAAATACTGCCACATCTTAAAATGGCCACTGGTGCTGGTGGACACTGCAGCACGAGCAGCCCCCCCCCCCACCTCACCTCCAGCCAAGGCCTCTCTCACTCTCTCACTCTCTCACACACACACACACACACACACACACACACACACACACACACACACGCACACACACACAGGTCCCACTGCAGTCTCAACACAGGGCTGTTTACTCATTATCCCTGTCCACTGTTAATCCATAAACACACTGCTCTGCCTCGCTGCTAACAGAGGTGAAGTTGTTCAGCGAAGTGCGTTTGATCCCGTGGGTTGGAAACAAACAATCGGAACAGTTTGCCCCCCCCCGGGAGAAGCCCCTCTGAAAAATAAACACGAGAAAGCCTACGAATCAGATCACTCGATGAGTTTTATTCACAATGTACAGAACAACGAATCGAGTCAGAAACGCAGCAGCCAGTAGAAAACAAATCTAATGAAAAAGCAAACTATATCGATCGTATTTGAACACTATACAGACTAAATACAAATTTCCTCAGAAAGCAGACAGTAACCGATTACAAACGGCAAGATATAGTGTTTCAACGCGTCTTATGGCTGGAGAGAATTATTTCATTGAAAGAAAAAACAGCTTCCATGTTATTTATCAAAGCAGCTCTTAGTGCAAAAATCATAACACGTAGCATACATATGGGTTGTGTGAATCCAGACTCTGGGGCGTGGGCTGTAGGTTTAAATACAAGGCCTTGGCTGAATTCAAATGAAACGTTGGGCCGGCTGAGGCAAAGAGCTGCCAGTAATCAGGGTTCAACCACCTGCTCCACACCCATGGGAGTCGAGAAGGAAGGGGAGGGGAAGGGGCACAGGTGACAACAGACAGGAAGGTAAAACGCCTGCATGGTGTATATCCGGTGTGAATTTGATCTAAACTCTTCACATTGAGTTGGGGAAGATGCAAACATCCGATTGTCAAAGTCCCTTCCGAATCTCTCCTCAAAGTTCTAATGTAGAAACGGCGGGAAATATTAATTCACAACCTTGTCTGCGCTCTCTGGGTTTCTGTTCTGTTGGGCATTGCGACAGCGTCAAACCGTACCCGTCGCTGTTGACACTGTGGTGGCAGCGATGATGATTGTAAATGATTGGACAAACTGAGCGCATGAGAGAGGGAGGGTTGAGGTTTCATCGACCCGGTGGCTTAATCGTCCCTCTTCTTGATGATGAGCGGCCCGACGTTGTCCCCGGTCTCATCGTTGTGTTTGGCGTGGGCTCCGTCGCAGTACGGGAACTGTAAGCAGAACGAGGCATGTTAAGAGGAAAACAATAAGTCGCTCTCACAAAGTTTAAAACCTTTGTACTTTACGATATACGAGTGAGCACAGTTAGCAAATACCAAACCTCCCAGAACGCACCTGAGAACTATGACAGAGAAACAGACATGTTAACTGCGTTACCCCTCGACCTCGAGGGGACGGAAGACCCTTTTGTTTTTTATCTTTGAGATCATCATGAAGTTAAATACGGAAACAGCTCTACTCAAGTCCCCTAATCCCAAGTGGTTAAAAATAAGCAAAATATTCAACTTTACAGACTTAAGCGATGTGGTAACTTTGATTTTCCTTGTTCTTTATTCTATGTCAATGAAGAGAATTAAAGTTCTTGTTTACGCAAACGACTTCTCTCCATTTCGAGGACACCCCTTGGGTTCATTTCAGTATATGAGGTCTATTATTTTAATATGTCGCCCCTACATGATAGCTTCCCACTCAGTTAAATTCAGTTAATGAGTCAAGTAAAATGAAAAAGTGTTCAATTTAACAAACAACAGTAACAGCTAATGAGGCCCGACCTTCTTTGACTTCCAGCAGCGGCAGTACACGGCCTTGGTGCCGATGTCCTCCATGTCGAAGCTGTGGACCACTTTGGGGCTATCTTTACAGATGGACGTGTTCACCTGGCCCTTTTTACAGCTGCGCCCGCTCAGGTAATGGCTGACCAGGAAACCTCCGACGGCTGCAACCACTGCGACCGGCACGGCCACCACGAAGTGCTCTGGAGAGAGACAGACGGTCACAGTCTGCACACAGATACAGAACACACCTTTCTCTGTACGGATCGGTAAAGTCACAGACCGTTTTCTTTTAATGCTAATAAATGTGTGGACTAAATATTAGACACATCTCCCAAATTGAACGCAATTCGATCTAATGTTACCACAAACTTTGGCCTCCATTATGACCACAGATGACTCAACACATATCCAACTGCCTGCTTAAGTACCATTGGAATGTTAAGTTTGTGTCACTAAGTCTATGTTAAACTGGTTTTCTGTAAGTTTCTGTAGGTCAATGCTATTCAAAGCCTGGAATTAACATTTTATGGTGAAATTTGTCTCACTGAAAAAAGACATCCACCTTTCAGCCATTGAGAAGTAACAAAAAACACTAAGGTTTTGGATGGATGGATGGTTTTGTTGTTAAAGATATGACTTTCTGGGTCCAACAGAGACCCGTCTTCCTACAGGTTCGCCATGTTGCATCACCAGAGGAAGGACTGCTAATGAACGGGGTCCGTGAATCAGATGCAGAGGAAAACTGATGCAGTGGCCCGTCATGTTGGCTTTGTTTATTACAAGGCACGGGAGAGGCGTATCCACATGATGTAGAGCCGTAAGACCAGAGGAACAGGGGCCATGCTGTCAGTCTGGATCAGTCAGTTCAGTGATTAGCTGCTTCGCTGGAGGCCATGATACATTAAGATATTCCTGGAAGTAGATGCAGGGATCGCCTCCAAGTACGGCCTGCGCAGATGGGCCAGGACTGTCAAAGTCACCGTCTAAAGTTGGAAACACGACGTGCGTCTGTATCCAGCACATCTGACTGGCCAGTTAACGTAGCTAGCCAAGTGGCTGGTAGTCGGCTAACGCAAGGAGCGGGTTTAGAAGTTAGAGAACCATTTAAAGATATGTGCGCTTCGTGTACTAGTCTCCAAACAGCCGTTAGCCTACGAACAACTTTGACCGTGAGGTGAACTGTCAGCGGTGCTAGTCTTGAGTAACGTTAGGACACAGATGTTAAGTTTACGTTGAGCGGCAAACCAAAACACTCATTTAATGCTAGCGTGCTGTTAGCTGACTTGAATACTTTACCTTTCGATAGCGTGAATCCCGATGTGGGTAACGCGGGCATCGCTGCTAAACTTGGGACTGTCATATTTCCCCTGCTCGGTGTTTTGTTTGTGTTCTGCGCTCAACAGCAAGGTCATCCGGGGAGTCTTCCTGAAGTCTGTCAGCGCTACAGGCAGTGCTCCGCCTCCTACGTCACTGTGTGGCAACCAATCAAGTCTGAGGAGGAGGGGGGGGGACGGACGGACGGACGGATATAATGCATGCTAAACCGTCTTCGGCGCACTTCCGGCTTCGCTTTACTGCTGTTAAGAGGACTTGAACTGTAACGCTAATGTTAGTTGATCCATGAAATGTCTTTCTCTAGATATTTAACATATAAGGGGTTTCACGTTAACCCTTACAACGATAAGGTGTCCAGGTGGATATTTTTGTTTTGCTAAATGTAATTGAATTATTGATCTTGTTGACAGTAATTTGACAAGATACCTCTCAAAGTCCGCTTTCTGCCGTTTTTCGAAGCTTTTCACAGACACATTTTACAATATATGACTGATTCTTCAATGTACTGCTATGTAACCACTGTCCTGATCGATATGCATTATTTAACATTCATGCCGTATTGCACGTCGGTTGTTGCCAAAGGTTTTCAGTGGAGGAGAATCATCTTGATGGCTGCGATCTTTGGCGAGTCCCATTTCCCCTTCGAGAAGTATTTGCTCTTTAACCGTGTTCATGCGAAGATGAGCCACAACCGTGTTTTCTGCGTTTGATTTGATAAACCCGTCTACTTGTTTTACAGAAACAGATTCCGTTCCATCTTGAGAAACTTTTTGTTGATACATGAACACGGAGTCACCACAGATTAAAATGTAATGCACTCCAATGACTTTACATAAAATCACCACCAGAGGGCCACACAACAATCTACCATCTTGAACATTTAAAGTTTTGTAACGTTTGAAAAAAAGATAAAAATCATATCCGAGGGTAATCGCCTAGGTATGCTATAACATATTAAAGTTATTGTCATTATGTAAATGCATTCTTTTAAACCATATATTGAGTTTAATTTCACTTAAATTAGAGCACAAGCATCATCCATACACCAATGCACTTTTAATCATTGATTCTGAACAATTTCAAAACCCTTTTCCTTTCAGTTAAGTTTTTTTTTTTATGGACCAGACACTCCCCAATACCCACAAAGAATGTAACCAATAGTAATTCCGTGTACCAGGTATTATTTATCCTGTGGGACATTTTCCTTTCCTTCCTCTGCATGCAAGGGCCCGAGAATGAGTCAAGACAGGAATAATGGGTTTTTATTACACAGTTTAATCAACACACAAAGCTCAACGAGCCTCTCAGGTAATTCAATATACAGAGGTTTTGTGCAAGAAGAGTGGGTTCTCCTCGCACCCAGAGCCCAAGCCAGTCCCATAGCCATTTAAGATGTTAGCCTCTAATTTAACAATAGCAAAAACAAAAAGAGAAACCAAATAAGAAAAGGAGAAAAAAAAGCAACCTAAAGAGTTATTGGGGGGGAGATAAAAAAAAACACAGGTTCAACTAAGAAAAATAAATCGCTTAAATACCTGGTCCAGAACCTCCACTTTGTGAGTAAAGAAAAGTTGGCGGTAGTGGTGAGGGTGACATGGGGGTTACAATTGTGCGTGCATGTGTGTGTGTGTACAAAGGGGTCAACTTAGTTGGGGGGGGGGGGGGGGGGGGG